TTATTAACAATTGAATATTTCTTATTCATATCTACTCCTTCCTAAGCAAGTTTTGGTTAAATAATAGAGAACAACTTATTGCATAAAATATTCATTTGTTAATCCTTTCTGATGAGTGGAAATGCCTAAGAGAAAATTCCAACTATACTGTGCATATATTTTTTCTAAACAAATTTACTGAGGTAGCAAGACCAATAGTTTGATATTTAATATTTTTGTTATTGTTTGTAGCAGTCAAATTTTAATCCTCAAAGTAATTTGTTGCTAAATTTTATATGTAGAATAATTAAATCCTTTTCGACTATTTTTGTTAATTAATAATTTTAAAACCTCCCAAATTGGGTCTGAAAATTGCTTTTCAAATCTGGACTGAAACCTATTTCTTTCTCACAAGTTGCCTTTTCTTCACATCATTTTCTGTTCAATCAAAGATAGATTTAACACAATAAAATTACCTGGCGGAGAATAATTCCTCAAGCAATTTTAATATTGGTAACCATGCCAGTCCCATATTTACTAAAATGAGAATTCGAAATATGATTAAAGCCTAGAGCACTGTGTTTGTTTCCTTTGTCTGTCATTTCTAAATTTGAATTACATCTAAAGTAGTCTCTAAGTACTGAATAGCTTATATATGCATGTAATTTCTGATTGATAGAAACTTATCAAAATAGTGAATGCTTTCAGGATATTATTCTCTTAAGATAATGCTGTTAATATTCTCATAGAATCTACTGTTTAATCTTTACATAGAGTTGATAATTGACAAAATCTGTTTTGGTTTTAGATACAAAAGAAACAACTCCATAATGTTAAATGTTGCATTGAACAATAAGACAGATAAAAATTGAAAAAATAAATAAATAGCAGTATATCCAATGATTTGTTAGTTTAATGATGGACCAAAATTTTTTATATTTGCCTAAAAGACTTTTCTTGTCATTGCAGTCTTGCATTAGGGAAAGAAAAAGTGGTAGATGTTTATTAGTTTTTAGCTCATACAGCCTGTAGGGCCTGTCTAAATTACTGACCAAATCTAGTCAAAAGTTTGGAATCATTGAAATAGATTCTGAATGTCAATTAACTTAAATCACAGCTTTAAATAAATGCAGCTTTTCTTGTTGTGTACATATTGTGGTTGTGTACTGTATATGCAGTATTGATTTTCCAGTAAAATTTGTTGCTTCTTGTACTGTATTCTTCTTCATCGAGTGTTATAGAGGGTTTGTAACTGTTTTCATACAGAATGCCGAGTGACCATTTCTCAATTGCAGCCAACAGAGAATGCTGCTAGTAAAGTGCAAACAGCATCTATGCTGCGATAGATGTGCCATCATCATATAAGTAATACCTCCTAGCAGAGTTAAAATATATAATAGATTCATGTGAAGCAGGTTTTCACTTGTTTTTTTTTTTTCTTTTTCTTTTTTTTCAAGAACAAGATTTCACCTAATGTATTATTTTTCAGCCCTGGTATCAGAGTCTACTCCATCTTCTATTGAAAAGACAAAAAGGCATTTCAAATCAGATAACTCACTGGTCTCCCAAGCCAAGTAGACTTGCTGGTTGCTGCAGGGGACACACATTTAAAAGCTGCTATGACTGTCCTCTTTTTTTTATTCCCCCACATCATGTTTTTAGTTCATTTTCTTTTTATGTCCTTGTTGTTGCTTCTCTTTAATAAGAACTACAACACAATTTGGATTTTTTTTCCATTTATTATTCCTGAGTTTCATTTTTTTTCCATTTTTTTTAATGCTAGATTTATTTATTTATTTTCCCAATCTATTTTCCATCTTATTTTTTCATTTTTTTATTCTCATTGTCCTGTATACTCAATGAAGCTGGTTGAGTTCCTGTCTCCCTGGTGCTATGGAAACTATTGGACCCATGAAAGAATTTTTTAACCCAGCTTAGAGCTAATTCTTTAAAACCATTGGCAGCAGATCCTACCAGGGTTGCAGGCATTCTAGCCATGAACAGAGACCATTGTTTGAGGGTGAGGCATATAGATGTTAATCATGTTTTATACTCACCATCATCATCATCAGCACCCCCCGCCCCATCTTTGTATTTTTTCCCAACAATAATTTTTTTTTCTCCTCTTTCGTTTCCTTTTTAACTGAAAGGTTCATTCCTTGGTTAAGCTAAGTGTTCATTCTCAAAAGCGGGGAAAAAAATAATGATGGGTTGAAGGTGGGTTAGAAAAGGGGTAGGGTATAAGATGAAAATGTCTTAGTTCAATATAGATCCAACAGCCAACTCTAATAGGAAAATTTTCACAACAATCCATTCAAGAAGCTGCATATTAATTCATAAAATATATTGTTGCAAAGTGAAGTTTTTGAACAGTGGACATTCCTTTTAGGTCTTGTCATTTTTTTCACTGTCACTTCCCCTTGACTAAAAATCACATCAGCATCCTTTACAGGAATTAACTTATTACTACTTTCTTAATTGATGCTTAAAAAAAAATCAATATTACAGAGAAATATCTTATATAAGAGTTTTTTAATATGATTTTACAGGATTTTACAAGTATACAAATACTTTCAGATACAGGTAAAAATTGAAAAAAAATTACAATTATTGGTTTTGATAGATAATAACTAAGTGAAACTTGAAATTTCAAGGCTACTCTAAGATCAATACATATTTACAATAAGTACTTTTGGGATCACCCATCAAAAAAAAAGAATTTACATCTCCCTATATTTTCAGAGACATGAAACACACACACACACACACACTAATATTGACACTAACAGTCTAAAAAACCCATATATAAATATTCCATTATTACTATTTTTGTTTTCATTTATATGTGCGTGTGGTTACACTCGAAGGCAAATAAGAAAATAGATAAGAATCTATATCCACATCTCTATTGATCAAAAAAGAAGACAGATAGGGATTATCTGTTGATCAATATATTCATATCTATCTATTGATTGAAGGAGAGCTGTGAGGGGTATAGAAAAACTGAAATACAATTATATATTTATGTCATTGTGACTTTTTCTATAAATATATAGGCTATATACATACATACATGCACACACACATACATATAATCACACAAACACACACACACATATATATATATATATATATATATATATATATATATATATACACACAGTTGTATTTGTCTAGAAGTAGAAAATAGATATCTTCCATTTTTATTTATAAAAAAATATATATATATATATATATATATATATTTCTATTCCTGGACAAATTCACATATATATATATATATAATTTTCTATTCCTAGACATCAGTATGTGTGTGTGTGTGTATGTATATATATATATATATATATATATATATATATATATATATGATGTGTTCATCCAGGAATAGAAAATAGATATCTTCCATCTTCCTTTCAGAATGTAGATAGACTGGAAGACATTTATGCATTTTTATTTTTATTTCAAATTATTAAAGTTATATGTGCATATTATTTTATATAGGTACATCTTTATATACGCATAAACACACACATCATTAGATATATTTCACACTTTCACACACATCTATACATATATTATTAACATTTCTATAAAAGAATATATGAATTATGCATATATGAATATATTTGCATCACAGTAACATATGTAAATGTATACATAAGCTTTATGTATATACAAAATCAATCACTGAAAATAAAAATGGATTATACATCGATATATACAGTTAATATATGTTTGTTATTTGATCTTTCATCTTTGATACATTTTTGAAATTTGAAGCTTTACAAAAAGCAAAAGAAATGTGTTCACCTGGTATATTATGTGACAGGTAACTAACTATTGAAAACAGAACAATTATATCATATAGAAGTAACATTAAATCAATTATTTTTTATAATGTTAACTAACAATAAATGCATTTTTCAAAAAAGTAAACTTATGACAATGACCGAAAGTTTAAATAAATGTTTTACTTTATGGATAGTTGTGTCATGTGGCTGAAATTAAAAAAATAATTTTGTCATTTTGAAAAAATTTCAATTAACTTTAAAAGTGTTTTGATTGGCTGATACAACTAATGCATCAGGTCGTAATCACTTTTAGTAGTTTAGATCAATAATTTTTACTCCTATAGTTCCAATACAAATTAGTAAAGAAAGAAATTTTTAGCATATAAAAAATTTACATTCTCTCCTAAATCAAAATAATCTTTGAAGTTTATTACTAATATCTTTAAAAAAAAAGTAATTGTTTTGAAAGCAAGTTCTCTGAAAAAAGCCATGAAATGTAAATTAAATTTTTTTAGAGTATCTGCTATAGCTAAACTTTCAGATTGAATCAAATAAATAAAAAAAGTAATTCTTGACAATATTATAAATTGCTGCAGTCTTATTCACATGATTTATTGAAAAGCAAAATTTTAAAAAAATATTCTTTTAATTGTTTACAACAATTACTCTCATTGGGCTAATAGGCATGTGTACACAACAATTAAACTATTTAATAGATTGATAAATACGTTACAATATATTTGAACACTTCAAACATTTTCACACGTTAGTGTCTTATTGATAATATATGAGTTGTATACGCTGTGTTATCAAGGCTATTTATTAATATACATGACTTAAGTGATTTTTTAAAAAAATAAAATATTTGTAATTTTCTCAAAGATGGACAATATTTTAATGATGAGTTGATGATAAACAATTTAAATGTGATAGTTATCATTTTCTAGTTATAGCCATGAGTCACCATTATATTATGACAATATATGTTTACACAGAATGCCATATACAAATTTAGTAAACCACAAGGGATATTTATATTTATGTTTCTCTAGATATATTGTATATAGAACAAATATTCTATCTGACAAATGTACCAATAGATATACATACATATATATAGGTATGTATATATATATATATATATATATATCTTATCTGATCATAAACAATATTATAAGACAAAGATAAAAAATATATATATATAATAGAAAAACCACAAAACCAACTAACCTGTGCTGTTAAATTCCCTGGAGTCTGTGGTGAGATGTGTTCTGGCGTGGAGTCCTGCTGTAACTGCTGCTATTGTGTGACAACATTGTTAGATATGTGTATGTGTGTTTGTTGAGTATGTGTGAGGATTGTATATGTATGGGAGTGTGAGGGAAGCCTGATGTCCTACCAAGTGTGTTGTGTGTGTAGTGGTGGCTCGTGCCAGTCACTGGCTGATGTTCTTCCCATTGAATGGAGACAGGCATTGTAACCGACTCCCCTTGGAGCGGACTTCTTTCTTTATGCTCTATGTACACATACATTTACATATCACTTTCTCTTTCTTTCTATATTCGCAATTAATATATATATATATATATATATATTTTTTTTTTTTTTTTTTTTTTCTCTATTCTTTTAATTTTAACTAAACTTTAGGGTTTTTATAATAATTTGAGATATATATCTGTTAAGTTTTGCAATAGTGAGTCATTTTTTGGGGAGCCTCTGGACCCAGGTATCCAGTCAAAAAATCAATATCTAGCATGTCTACTTGTGAATGTATGTATTATTCTAAATACAAATTCTGGAATTCAAAACATCCAAGACAATGGTTAATCCCTCAAGAAATCAATATCATGTTTGCCTACTTGGCATTGTAGAATTGGCGTTCAACTTATGGGATACAACAAAATGTAGGTTTCTTTTTATTTACAATTATAGACGCCTCAGCTGTATTAATTTTTTTTATGTGAGATTAATTAAATAAGTTTTTTCAGTAATGGAAAACAGATAAATACTAAAGGGGAATGTATTATGTGATATGAAATTGCATCAATATTTGGCAAATATTTTAGTATTAATTTATTCAATAAACATTTTGTATAGATTTTTGTTCTAAGTTCACACATTTCTTTGTCTCGTCATTGCCAGCCTCAAATATGTTGGAAATATAACTTTTAAAACAAAATTAAGTGAAATTAGATTTCAATTGGGAATTATTACTTGTTTTGTGTTTTTCTTTATATCTGACAGCAGATTGTTCATTTGGATCAAGTATTTTATACAATAAAAATCCCCCTTGTTGCTCACTAATAAGAAAATTTTAATCATTTCAATTCTTATTATGTAAATTTTACATTAAAATCAATATCTTGAATTGAACTTTTTTTTCTTTTTTTCACACCTTCATAAGCATTTTCATTTTATTTCTTTTGTTATTTTTTGACATTTCCTTTTTTTCCAACTTTGGGGAAAAAATATCGAATTACTTTACATAATGAAATTTTGGAAGATGAAGATAAAAAGATTGTTGTTATTTTGTTGTATCAAATATATCAAATTATAACCAGTAATTACAAAATATATCTATTGTATGTCTTAACATACTTTACAAACATTTTTCCTAGTTCATTCCATATGTTGATTTCAACAGTATTTTCATAATAGAATTTTTTTTAAAGAATTGATTGAGAATGAAAATTTGGTTTCTAACTATAAATTAAATATTTACAGTAAATATAAGACATATAATAGGGTTATCATTCAAAAATCATATTAAATTTAAATTCTGATCAAAACTCTTATTTTCATCATCATTATCATTATCATTATATTTTGTCAAATATGCCGACATAAATTGAATGTATTTTACATTATTTCTTCAATTTATATCTTCTCTATTTTGCCTTTATGTGTTCCTTCATTAACAAAAATTTTAAGTCCAACCAACAAACAGACAAATGAACAAAAATGGGAAAAACAAAAACAAAACAGAAGGGAAATTATTTACTCTGGGAAGATCCCCCTTTCATCCCAGAAATATAAAATAGTTTTAATTTTGTAATTTATATTTTTGTTTAATCAAATCAAAGCCTTATGACATAATTATTCACAAATGCTTCAGAATTCAATTAGATAACAATTTAAAAACAGAGCTGGAAAAAAATAACTTAAAATTTTGATGGAAACAATTTGATTTTGATGAATATGTTAAAAAAAAAAATGAAACAAATTAGTCGTAGATTTTTTTTTCTACTGAGTTTTTCACTAACTTTTCACTTGTGAATTGCCACCAATATTAATTTTTTTTTTTTTTGCAAGTGCCTTACTTAAAATTTAGTTCAAGTGTGTGGCTTCTGTGTGTGGGATCACGTGTGTGTGGCATGTCCAAGGTAATCTACATAGGGCACCTGTCTTATTGCAGGCAATTGGTTGGGGTCATTAGAACATCTGCTTTCTGGCAGATTGCAGGCCCGTGAATGTGGACCAGAAATGTCCTCTGTAGCAGATTTCAAATCAATCCACTGACTACAATCAGGGATGTGGCCAATGTTGGGTTTGTGTAAAGACCTGGATGAACTATTGTTTGTATCTCCATGGTAGAAATGTGTTAGTTGTTTAGATTTTTTTTGAATGTTCTTTCTTGGGTTCTGGTCAGTCATTGAAGAAGGGGATTTAAAGTGTTGGGAAGTATTAAGATCTGAAAAATATAAATGGGATAAGACAAAATTAGTTCAATTCAAAGAAATGTGCTAAATTTTAAAGGATTTATTCTTTTCTTTTTTATTGTTATAGTTGTTGTTGAAGACATGCATAAATATGAAAGGAGGAACGATAAATGAGTTATTGACAGATATTTACATATGAATAGATCTGTTAGGAATATTAGATAAATAGATCAGTAGGGTATGGTTATAGATTTATGGAAATCAAGCAGTGAACATAGTTCAATGGAACAGTATGATAGATAACTAAATCAGAAAGGAAACATTGATATATACATACATATGGGAAAAATGATATAAATTTCTATATATCAAAACAATATCAGGCAAATGAGTGACAAATTTGTCATTCTTTTGCCTATATATATATATATATATATATATATATGTATGTATGTATGTATGTAATATAATATAATATAAATGCAAAAGAAAAGTGGACACAGAGATTAACACTGAGTAGCGACAGCTTGTTTTCATGCTTGAACACAGCCTTCACTGAAGATTGCAATCAAGCATGAAACAAACTGTCACCACTTACTCATGACCTCAGTGTCCACTTTTACCTTTTATAAAGTGGATACTGAGGCCAACACTGAGTGGCGACAGTCTGCTTTATGCTTGAACACAATATTCACTGAAGATTGCAGTCAAGCACAAAACTCAGTGTTGGCCTCATTGTCCAATTTTACATTTATATACTCTCTATCCCTGATATTGAGCACTTTTACCCATAAAATACTTAAAATATAGCTGAAAACTATATTTTATCATATATATATATATGTGTGTGTGTGTGCATGTTGTTGAATATATATATATATATATATATATATATATATATATATATATATATATATATATATTATATGGGCAGCTATTTGCTTCTAGGCAAAACTGTCTGCTAGGATGGGTAGTGAATATCTGTTGCAAATGACTGCTCAGGCCCATTTGTGTTTGTTCAACACCCACAGAGTCCACTTGTGTTTTATACTGTAACTATGATGAGCAGATGTTAGTTACAGTTACTGAGAGAGAGCCCAATGTCTGGTGTTATCAAAAGTTTGAACAAGACCAGTGACTTCATGATAGCACCACCATCAATGGACACTGAACAGTTCTGTCTAACCAGTTTCACTTACAAGGCTTGGGTTAACCTGTGGTATGGTTTACAAGCACATTCTAAATGATGCTATAGGCTGATAACGTCACAATGCCACATTCCTGATAAATCAACCAGGCTGAGGTTTGAATGCAGTCTCATGGTTGGAAAGAGAACATTCTAAATGACCATATAACCATATATATATATATATATATATATATATATATATATATATATATATATATAACAAATGCATAGGGTGGTGGTAGAAATCTTTTTGGCACAACTAAGAAGAGATTCAAACCAAATATTCTAATGTTTAGTCAATTGATCAGATTTTAGGAAGTCGGTCAGGCTTAAAGTTTTTCAGCACCATATATATATATATATATATATATATATGAACAATGTAAATATAAAATAGTGCTGGTGATAATAATAAAACAGTGCTCAATGTAAAATAATGGAGCTAAAATTTATACTAAGAATAAATATACATTTGTTCTTTATCAGTTGATACAACTCTGAGTTTCATGTACTGACAATTTATACATGCATGAAACTCAGAGTTGAACCAGACAGCAAGGAATATATATATATATATATATATATATATATATATAATGCTTCCCATATCTATGAATGGATCATATGATGACATTGCTTACAGTCAAGCTGCAGCCATCATATATATATATATATATATATATATATATGAAAGAAATTACAAGAGAAAACATTTTATGCTCATGTTTTGTTCTTTGAGGGATGTTATAAAGGAAAAACCAGATTTTATTTAGTAACCTGCATTTCTTATTACTATAAGGATTATATCCATTGGGTGCATGTGTTTTAGTAAACATTTCTCTTTTTTGAACAGTGAAATTATTGTCTGTTAGCCTAGAGCTCAGAAATTTTAATAAAGACAGTATGCCTCCTGACAGACCATACAAAGACAGACATGTATGTATATATATATATATATATATATATATATATATATATATATATATATATATAAGACAAAAGGAAAACTTGTCTTATTACAGATATTATATTAGCTATATCTGAATTTTTACACACATATATGTATGTTTGCAGATGGATATGTTTGGGAGTCATTGATGGTTGGGCTTGCACAAATTTTCAAGTCATTGTGACCAAGAGTTTGAGCATATTGGCATTGTTCAAATGTTTGATCATGACAGATTATGGACTCTCTCCCAGAAACTAATTAAACCCAACTCAGCATAGTATAAACCACAGGTTGGCTTTGTGGTTAATGAACAAAGTGTTTGAGCAGATGTCTGCAACAGGGATTGGCTAGCCACCCTAGTAGACAGGTTTGCTCAGAAAATGAGAGTGGTCAGTCATTATGCATGCATGTATATATGTATAGATAGATAGATATGGAGAGACAACAAGAGAAATAATATGGAGAGACGAAGAGAGCGATAATATGAAAAACTGTGATAGGAACAGACTGAGATAGATAGATATAAACAGATTGAAATAGATAAGACAAAAGAAGTAGATTGATGAATGATAATATCATAAATGATAAGTGTATCACTATTGAATAAAAGAGTTCATTGTATTGGGACAGAGTGACAGATGATTTATAAATATCTTTTAGATATGAAAGAGAGAAATTATATTATGGAGTATCAAAAGTATTTACATTTTGTGTAAACATTTGTTCCAGAGCTTATTTCATAGATGCAGCAAAGGAATTTTTTTTCAATCATTTCACCCCAAGCAAGGCAATAAAGCCACTAAAACACAATGGGTTACTGAGTATGAAAGAATCTGCGAGAAAAAATTATTAAGGAGAGAGGCCAATAAAAGAACAGAAATTAAGGATACAGAATATGACAACTGACACTGCATTTAAATTTTTGAAGATCAAATTTGACTGGAAAAAAGAAGCCCAAAGAGAGCTCCACTAGTGAGAAGTGTGAGAGAAGAAACTGTTAACATAGAACTTATAGGAATTTCAACTGTAAAATGATGAGACCTAACTGCCAATCTAGTACTACACTCAAATTTGTAAAGTCCAGGCACCAAAGCGGAAAATTCATCAGAACAATTACCACAAACATATTTATAGGAAATTCACAGGGAAATTATGTTATGGCAATGATAAAGTGACTGAAGCCGAGATTCCAGGTCAGGACCGATAACATTGATACTTCTTGGGATTTTATCAAGAATCTCTAAATAAATAGCAGGAACATCAGACCAATGTGGCAGCAATATTCAATGCATGGATGAATGATAGACTTATAAAGTCATATCTATGACTTTACTATATTATCAATAACATATATATATATATATATATATATATATATATATTAGAAGATATGATATAAATATCAATATATCAGACTCATAGTGGGTAATGAGAGAATGAAATAACCCCTATGTTGTTTTCTCTTGAAACAGCATCTTCAGAATGGTAATATTTTTTCAATGGGGTTCTTCTATATACAGAGTTTTGTTTCTAGTTAAATTTATCTTCAAAGATTGCTAACAGCTGCTAGGAAAGTTGGTTCACTGTATCATGTCAGAGAGTTTTTCTCACCAGAATCTATCTTGCATGTTTATAAGTCTACCATTCATCTGTGAATTGAATATTGCTGCCACATCTGGCCTGATTCTTCTGCTCTGTATCCAAAGATTCTTGACAAAATCCAAAGAAAAATCTGCAGTGTTGGTCCTAATCTGGTATCTTGTTTTCAGTTACTTTCCCACTGCTTTAACATAGCTTCCTGTGCCTTTTATATAAATATTTTAATGGTAATTATTCTGATCTGCTTTGCTCTTTGACATGTCCACTTCATGAATTTAAATGTATTACTAGATTGGTGGCAATGTCTCATCATATTATTGCTGAAATTGCTAGATTTAACCATAAGTTCTATGCTAACTTCTTTCTTCTCTCACACTTCTTGCTTGTGGAACCCTCTTCTGGATTCACTTCCCAGTCAACATTGATCTTCCAAAATGTAAATGCAATATCACTCATTATCTTCTGTCTTCTTAATTCCTGTTCTTTTATTATTCTCTCTTCTTAATGTTTTTCTTTTTCTCATATTCTTTCAGAATCAGTAATCCCTTGCATCTTAGTGGCTTTAATACCTTGTTTGGAGTGAAATTATTATTGCTTTTCTGTCAACTATTATCTTCAAAAATTAAAATGTGATGTCAATCTGTTCTTTTATTGTCCTTTCAATTCAATGTTTTCTCAGTTTCATTCAGTCTCAATAACCTCCTTGCATCTTAGTGGCTTTATTGCCTTTCTTAAGGTGAAATAAATAAATATATATCAGCTGTAGCTTTTCATTGAGAAATGCTGAAGATACAAGGACACTTAGCTTTAAATATCATATTAAAAACGCTATACAACTGTAACTTTTTGTTTCAGATCTTATGGCCGATAATACCATTGAGATTCTTGCAATTTTGAGGTGTTATTTTAATTGACCATCAACACTGCCAGCAGAATTCAAGAAATGTACAAAAATGAAACTATCTAACCATACTGCCCCAAATTGATTTAAGCATTTTAAAGGTAGCAACTTAACCTTTGAAATAAAGCCCAGAATTGGATGACTCTGAGTTGTTAATAGCAATGCTTTAAAATGCAAGATGAAAGAACTCAGCTGCTAACAGTTGAAATTGTTCCAAAACACTATATTGATTGATTTTTTTTTTTATGATTTATCAACTTTTTGTAGGCTATTTAAAGCCAAAATATTTTAGATTTTAAGAATTTATTGCTAAAAGTTCTACTAATTAACCCATAGCTGAGCTGAAAAGAGGTGGATTCATACCTTTCCAAGGGTATTTGCAAGTAAGTGAATATAATAAATCCAAATGAAACTCAGCTCTGATTTCCAATTCTGAGCCATAAGCCATTACACCACCTGCACATCCAAGCTTACAACACCAGGTATTGCCAAGCAGTTACTCATCTAGGTACTGGAATCACTATAATCATCATAGATAGTCTTGCACATAAAATAAGTTTGGTCTCTAAAAATGAAAACATTTTTGATGAACTCTAATACAGAATTAGTAATGGCTGAAAAGCATTGAAAGATAGTTCTGTACAGAATGCAAAATAGATGGGATCTATAACGACGAGGTAGGAAGATATCATTTTATTTATAGCTAAGAATGCAAGGCAGCCTAATATGAACAGAAATGAAAAAATAAAAACAAAAGAAAAGGAAAAAAAAACAGTGTGAAATCATCTCGGCACAATAATGGAATAAAAACAAAAGAAAATCATCTCGGCACAATAATGGAATAAAAAAAAATTGTCCTGCTTTGTTTCCTTTATTTAAAACTCTTTGAGGTTTTTGTCAATAATAACTCTTTTCCCTTCACACCACCACCAACACTGACTCATTTTTTTTCTTTTATGAAACACCCACTTCCATTTATTTTTTTTAACAATCATTATTGGATCTTTCTCTCTCTCTCCTTGCTGTTTTCAAAGAAATGCAGGCATACAAACATCTACGTGCAGATGCATATAAACATGCATATTTTGTATGTATAAATGAAATAATATTAAGATCCTTGCTACTTGCATACACACACACATACAATTTATATATATATATATATATATATATATATATATATATATATGACTATATTATTTGCCTGGTCCTTCTCGACTGTGCCGTGAGTCTCCCTCACTCCAGCCATCTTCTCTTTCACTGTGACAATCAGGGTTCATAAATTGTTTGTGTTCATTATCTCTTCCACAAGGCATTCCTCCTATTTCCTGTGAATCACAGAACAGATGAAATATTGTAATATGAGAATGATCATGCAAAAAGACTTGGTTTAGTTGTGTGCATGGAATAAAATTAAAGTCTCTTGCACAATACGTTTAGAAATAATAGTAACGACAATAATGCTATTGAGGGAACCAAGAAAAAAAAATGTGTTAAATAAATAAAGAGGCTGATAACGAAACTATTGCAAAGAATAGTGAAAAATAAATTTGTTTCTGATACAATAAAGAATTATAGAATGATTGGGAAAGGAGTTGGCCAACAAAGAAGGCTTTCATTTCAATAAAAAAAAAAAAAAATTAGGAATCCTGAAGGAAGCCAGAAAACCTTCTCCAGGAAGTGAAATCTATTAGTACTAATGCTACAGGTTTTTTGTATGATTTGCTTTTGGTGTTTTTCTTTATCTCCTTTCTCCACTTAAGAATATTTTCTGACAGAATTGCTTCAAAGACTTCATCTTTGTTTCCCTGAGATAGTTTGTTTATGCACCCTCTCACTCTCTCTATTTTTGTATATATGTATATGCCTGTGTTTCTGCATATGTGTGTCTATACACATATAATGCATATGCATACACACACACATATATAGATATAGATAGGGTGAATGTAGGAATCAACACTATATGGTGATTTTCCATTTCATATTTTGATGTGATGTTCCCATATATATATATATATATACACACACACTATACTATGCACTATATATAATGTACACTTTCCTCATGCATATATATACACACACACACATGCTGCACACTACATATTATATATATATACACACACACTTTTCTCATACATATACACACATACTGTACTATATATATATAGAGAGAGAGAGAGAAAGTGAGAGATACATACACAAACATTTTTTTTCTTACCTATACATATATATATATATATATATGTGTATATAAATACACTTTTTCATACATATATATCTTTTTCCCTCACTGGTATATATAAATACACATTTTTCTCACCTATATATTAATAAATATACATCTTTTTCTCACCTATATATTTTTTCTCACCTAAATATCGAAAATTGAGTACTGTTGCTAATAAAATCATGGTCAGTGTCTAACAAAAGTATAATTTTTATTGTTAATAATATATATTGTATTCCTTATTGGTAGCAATTGCATGACGCAATCATCAGGTGATGATTAAAAACTGACCAATCAATTTTCAATCAGCACCTGACGATTAAATAGTTTTACTTAGTAACAATATCTCCTAACCACTACAAATTAATGCATAATTTAAAAGATTTAAAACTTTATAAATCATTTTAATTAAAATTTTAAAAAAATTAAAATAACTCTTGTAAAAAATCATTATTCAACAAAAAAAACATTTTTTTAAGTCAAGAATGATCATAATATATCTTTTTCATAAAAGCATTTAAAAGATTTTCTGATTAAATAATGTCTCAGTTTTATTGCATTTTTTCATTTTATGATTCATAGCAGAGTGTATAACTGGGGATCCTGTTTAACAGAAATTTGATGATTTAAATTCTCCAAGGACTTGTCCTTATAACTAATGTAAAAATTGAGTGCTACAAAAATGAATTTCTCAAAATTGAATAAAATTAAATAAGTGAGTCAAATGTATAAAAATAAAACATTTTTACCATGATTTTCTAAAAATGAATCATTTCTAAAATAATTCATTTGTGAATAAGTTCTAAAAGTTTCATTAAAATCTGACAATTATCTGATTTTTACAAGAATTTCCAATTCAATGTGTTTTTCATTGCAAAAATTTGAAATTTCCCATACTAATTTATGGTAACCTGTTGACACAAGAAAAGCAAAAATTTTGAACCTAAATTTTGAAGCTTCTAAAAAGGATTTAAAAATCCAGAAAATCCTCTGATCTTTCCTCTTATTAATAAAATAAAGACTTTGACAATAAATTTGCTTTTATTAAGATTTGGCCATTTTTTCATTATGTATCCTCATTTTTTAGCAAATCTTTGGAGGCACCAAATATATATATATGTGTATGTGTGTATATATTTAGTTGGATTGATGTGAGTTTGAGACCCTGGGTTTCATGTCCTTGTAATCGTCAGACAAACTATATATATATATATATATATATATATATATATATATATATATATATATATATATATATATAGATACACCTAGTGAGCCAGACAAACCTACCTAGGTTTCACCTAAACGGATCGTCTGGGGAAAAATTTGGCTACGGTTGTATTGAGCTCTTTTGTTAGTTAGTTGTTACTCGTATCGGGTTTTTTTTTTGGGCTTCAGACCTGCATCTGTGCGATTTTTTTGTCGGCAGAAGTTCATGTTTGTAGCTCTTTCTTTTTTTAAAACATTTTTTTCCCTCGAGATTGATTTGATTAGCAAATCAAAAATTCGAGGGTTTTTCGAAAACGAGTCTAGTTATATATATATATATATATATATATATATATATATATATATATATATATATATATAAAAAATGTTGCCAGTATACATTTTTTGAAATTTAGAAAAAATTACCACTTTTTTAAAATTAAAATAAAAACCCTTTGTTTGTAAATATATACATACATGTATGTATATGAGATGAGGGTGCTGATAACTACCCCAAACCACAAAGAAGTGATTTTAAGAAAAATTCTGTTATTTTGACAGATTTTGGCTGAGTACTTTCAAAGAATAAGTATAGACTGTTTTTCAGTATCCCAATGAATATTTTTTTAGGGCAATTCAAACTTGAATGTTCTGAAACTTATACTTAACATCAGGAAGAGATTTTGAAAAAGACACATAATGAGAAAACAGGGCTTGGAAAATCTGATACAAAGGACAATTGAAGACAAGTCTGACTTAAAGCAAACAATACATAAAGTGAGCTTGAGTAAATTAATGGCAGAAAATTTATATATATATAACAAAAATATAAAATTATATATAGAGCTACAAAAAACAAAGATTGTGGAAAGCAAACATCGTTATAATGTGAGGGGGGGAAAGGGACATAGAGTAAAGAAGATCAAATTCAGTTGTCTTTTAGATAATTTATTTAAAAATTTGCTATAGCAAAAGTTCATGTCATCTTTTCTTATATGAATAAATGATGGCTTTTCTTACGTTATTGTTTAGGGAGAGAGGAAAAATATTTCCATGGACAGTTCACAATTTGTTTTTCTATTTAAATATCAGGTAGCTGTTCTCTGGCAATTTGAGATAATAAATGGATAATGCCTTGTAAATATTTTAAGTCTGGGAATGTTTTTTCAATTTTTTTCATTACAATATTGGAAATTTTAATAGTTAAGACATTCTCTTTCGCTTCACATTAGTCTATAATTATTCAAGAAATTTATTATCTATCTTCAAAAAAAAATTCAAGTCTAAAAATATTTTTTATACATTAAATATTGTTCAAGAAAATTTTTATACATACTGCTTATTGCTTAAGAAAACCTTTACATAAAAAATATAATATATATATAATAAAAATATATATAAAAAAATACTGCAAATCATTAAAAATTTTTTATATATACTGCCTGTCATATTGTTATGTATTGTATATCATCTAAGAATATTTTAGATATATTACATATCCTGCTATCATTCAAACAAATTATTATTATATATACAACCTACCATTCAAACAAATTATTATATAGACAACATAACATTCAAACAAATTAGTATATATACAGCCTACCATTCAAGAAAAACAACAGTATTATATATACTTAGTAACTGTCTTATTCAAACAAAAAATATATCTCCCATCCTCACTTGATGAAATCTACATCCCAGTCCTCCCAATGAATTTTGACTTTCATAAATTTAAATGTAATGCCAATCATTATTTTCTGTCTTCTTAATTCTTATTCCTTCATTGTTCTCTCTCCTTTATAGTGTTTTCTTCTTTTTATATTCTTTCACACTCAGTAACCCCTTGTGTCTTAGTTTATTGCCTTGCTTGGGTTGAAACACTATGAAATGATTAAAAATGGGGTTTAATATATATATATATATATATATATATATATATATATATATAAATATTTGAAGAAAAATATTATTACCATAATACATTTTGAAAATAATATATATATATATATATATATAAAAAATATTCCCTAAACAGATTTTTTGATTTAAAAAAATTATAAATCAGCAATATTCAAACAAATGATTATATATACTAAATAATCCATTGAACAAATTATTATATAAAACAAACTAAATCATTCAAAAAAATCAAAAATATAAAAACCTACCATTCAGATAAATTATTATATATACTGCATTTCATTTAGATAAATTATCATATATACAGCCTACTATTCAAACAAATTATAGTACATACAGGCTACCAGTGAAACAAATTATTACATATACTGTGTATCATTCAAACAAATTATTATATATACAGCCTGCCAGTCAAACAAATTATTATATGTACTGTATGTCATTCAAACAAATTATTATATATACAGTCTACAATTCAAGCAAATTATTATATATATAGCCTACAATTCAAGAAAATTATTATATATATTATCATTTAAACAAATTATCATATATACTGCCTATTATTCATTTCAATAAAGCTAATACAAATACTTGATAATATTTAATATTCATAGAAAGTGAGTCACAGATCTTTAAATTTGAAAGCCTAACATATCTGCAAATTCGAAAATCTTTGAATTTTATTGTAAAAAAAATAATAGTGTCTTTCAATAATAAAATATATAAAGGTAAAACAGTAATTCCCTTTTACAAACTAATCGGTTGTAAATATATTCACAAACAAGCAATGTTGAGTTTATTGATATTTTATTGTTTATTAGCATTGTTTATTCACATTCAGGACATTAAATATTAAAATATTAAGAATCAAAGGTATTTTCTTGCCTGTTAACCAAATATTGATTACCAAGAATTATAATTGTTTTCTGGTTTACGTTCATCTTTTATGTTTATATTTGC